TGTGGGATTCCTGAAGGCAACTACATTTCCAATTTTTTATTCAAACACAGCAGATGGGTTCCTGATCAGTTTTGCTTTTTAAATTTTAACTGAATTTTAAATACCAGACTGACTAAATCTTATTTACGAGTAGAACTAGCATATTTACCCAGTATTGCTTGGGTTCTCAAGGAGGGGCTCAGAGCAGTAAGCTGGGAGTGGAATGCAGGCATCAGGGGAGGGGGCGTTAAAGCCAGAGGGCCACCCCTGATTCGTGCCACGGCTGCTTGCTTTTCCTGTCCCTGTCTACAGCTCATCCGCCTCTTGCGCTCCCCAGCCAGAATGAGGAATGCAGCACATTGTGTGCACTTTCCCCTCTCTTCCTGATGAAGGGGAACAGCCATGTGCCGGTACAAAGCTTCAGTCCCACCTCCCTAAAGGGAAACTGGGGAGTGGGAGGCTCGGGACTGGGATAGTCCTGGACAAGGGGGGAGCGAACACCCAGCCAGCCCCTTTCACCTGCCTGGTCATTGTGTTTCTTTTCTATATGGTTTTATGAGAAACAATCCCATTCTATGCACGTCCCATTTTCCTGGCATAACCAAACCCTTACCTTGCTTTAAGTTATAATAAGAGGAAGCTGTATATCAAATTTGGTGGTCCTAACTCTTACATGTAAGAGACTTTCTTGAGCAAACAGAGAAACTCTCTCAAATACATAGCAGATAAAATACAGAATTAACAATGGTATAATAAATAATACCATATTCTCACCAAAAGGCTCCATCTAATTTTAAGTGGACTGCTTTCAGGGATAACATTTCAGGGGAGTATAATTTGGTCTTGATGTCCATTCATTTAAATGGCTCAGCTGTCTAATAAGAGGTTTAGCTGGTCCTGGTCTAGAACTACTAGTTTAAACTTACCAAATTTATTAACTAGTGATGATTTTTGTCACTACCCATCTGGCATGACTTGAATCAGTCAACTAAAAGACGAAATGTATCTAACAGGACTCTAAAAAAAACCAAACAGACAAGATATTTTGGTGTTTCCTTTGGGAAAATCCAGCTTCTGGGGTGAAAAGATTAGAGGAGCAAATGATCCTCTATGCACAAGTATTTCAGAAATATTAGAGACCAGTTTCTGACACCTAAAATAATTAGACAAACAGGAACAATCTGATGACAGCGTGTAAAATTGAACCTTTGATTTTCTAACTATTATCAAATATACATTTTACTAAATTTCTACGATTTATCTATAATGGTACATCTAGACTACATGGCTCGGTCGATGGAGCCACATAAAAGAGTTTACTCGGCATAGTCAAAGAAGCGGCGATTTAAATAATCCCCGCTTCATTAAAATAAAAATGGCTGCTGCGCTGTGCCATATCAGCTGATCGTCGGCACAGCGCAGCGGCCATTTTTATTTTAATGAAGCAGGGATTATTTAAATCCCCGCTTCTTTGACTATGCCGAGTAAACTACTTTACATGGCTCTGTCGATGGAGCCATGTATTCTAGACATACCCTAAGATATAAAGAAAGAAGGGAAGGCTTACTCACTAAGAATTTGCGATCTCAAATTCATTGGTTCAGATTTTGATGATGACCTTGCCCTACATCCCATATCCCTCATTGATTAGCACATGAAATTCTCTCACCCAATAGGCCATGCAACTCTCCCTGCAGTATCTTCCTCAAGCTTCAATTGTACATTAGATTGTGCTCTCTCATCACAAGGGAAGAAAAGGGAGAGGTAGCGAAGTAGCAGTATCTTGTTTATCCCTTCCCAAAAGTGGGCCTCCTTTTAAAAACATGTCCAGATAGATCATTCCTCTTTCCTCACAATCCAGTAGACTCTCCTTTCCAATCCAAAGATGTAATTTTCTAAGAAGATCAGACGAGCCTATTTCTTAATAATGTCTCCTCTAGATCCTGTTAAACTACCGCTTTAAGATAGAATGCACCAGAAAGATCTTTGCTCTTGTAGAAAAAAGTGTTTTCCTTCCTTTCTTGTATCTCCTTATAACTGGTATCTATAATCCTCAGATTCCACTGCAAATCTCATGGAAATACAGGGAAAGCAGTTATGCTGCAACCTGGAGCATACGCTTCAAAATACTGTAATGAAAAAGCAGTGGGATATAATGTACTGGGTC